TATATCACATCATCAATTGATATACTAATTAATGCATTAATTAGTGCATAATAAATAAATCAACAAAGTGGAAGACAACTCCTCCAGTTAGAGTTTTTGACGTGATCAGATCACCAACTCACCAACATAGAGGACTCATTGCTTTTGATAACTACATATTTTTTTCGAATCCTGACACGTTTTATACCTGAATTGTTTAGTCTCAAAGAATTAGAATGCGTCTCAGGAGAAACCATGTACAAAATCCACATATGTTTAACAAAAAAATATTTGCATCTTTAATTGTTTATAATTTTATATTTATAATTATGAAGATTTGTTACATCTTAGCATATACTTAAATTTTTTTCATGCATATCACGGCATTTCAGCAGATATCTTTAATATCAATATCACACGATGCACTATTTATTTGCTACAAAAACTAATTGAAATGCTCAACAATCTTTAAATTTTTCATATTTTAATATATATATATATTTTTTGTAAACCGAGAATTATGTAAAGATAATCTCTTTTAATGAGTTATTGTATTATCCCTACAGCGTGACTCCTTTGAAATAGCAGTGCGTTCCTTCTTCTCTTCTTATTTATGATATAATATTAGATTATTCCAAATATTAAAAAATAGTCCAAAAATACGGGTCCGTTTGGCAAGCAAGATTGGGGCTAAAATAGCCACAAAAGACAAAATAGGCTATTTTAGCCACAACAAACAAAATATCACATCCAACTCATAATCATTACACTCTTCTCTCACAAAAAAAGTCAAAAAGCCAAAAAGCTCTTCCCAAACCAAGCTTTTTAGCCCAGGCTAAAATAGCCAAAAAAAACCAAAAAGTCAAAAAGCCAACCCACTTCCCAAACGGAGGCGTATTAAATTATAAAGAAGGGAATCTGAATTTGGGGACACAAGATTATTATTATTTTTTTATAAAAAAAAAAAAAAAAAAAAAAAACTAGGTAGCATGTTAATGAGTTAATATATTAAATTAGCTCATTGAAAATTTCATATTTTCCATACATCCTAAAAACTTTGAGGTATAATCACTTGAACTATGCACAAATCCTGATTTTAAACATTTAAGTGCTTGCTAAATGTATTCTAAATGTACGACAACTTTTATTTGTGAAAAGTGACTGAAAATTGATTTAAATTCAAATTAAAGAAAGAGGTCATTTTCAAAATAAAAATTAATTATTCTTGACCGGTTCCATTTTCCTTATTACTTAAATAACTCTTATGCTAAAATTTTAGTTTGTACTACTGTCAGTTTTTCCTTCCATTTTTGTTTCACAAATCGAATATGCAAACATTTCAGCCAACAAATTTAAACACAAACCATCTCCTCCTTGTTAACGGTTAATTTAGATGTGTTCTTTGTGAATGTACTTGAATGTGTGTAGCAACTAGTAATGAAAATATATAATTCTTTCATAATTTTTTATAGAATCAATCCTCTAGAATGAAATGACAGTTGGTATTTTATTTTTTATTTTTATTTTTTTAGAAGACATCTTGATGAATTTTTTATTTTAAAATAATGGATGCACAACTCGACACATCATTCTACATACATATATATATTGTTTATATAACATTACTCAGGAAAAAAAATGATACAGAAAATTGCTGTACGACAAACTAGTATAAACATATATTTAAGACAAACAAAACCAAATTTTCTTTGGGATTTGAAGGCCATTATCAGTTAAAAGTTCGTGGTAAGTGAGCTAGCTGCTTTATCATCTTTATACTAAGAACTTTTCTAAATTATGTAAACAAATCTCAGAATTAAAAAATGGGATGACTTCAATAACTTAGTGTTTATATATAGAAGGGCAAACAAAAAACTGGTTCAACGCTTGAGCACACTACAAGAAATGTCACTTTTGGCTACCAAAATATTGGTCGCCAAAAGTCACTTATTTAGTCGCCGAAACGATTTAGCGACCAAAATTTTTTGTCGCTAAGCTCGTGGCCTTTACCCTGTCGGCAATAGTATTGGCGACTAAAATTTGTTTGGTCGCCGTAAGTGTACACATTTGGCTACTAATCTTAGTTTAGTCGGCAAAAGGTATGTTTCCGCCACTAAAATATTAGTCGCCAATAGTTTCTTTCTCTCATTCTCAAATCTTTTAGCTACTAATTATTTAGTGGCAAAAACGTTTTGGGTTATGTTTTTGCTACTAAATTATTAGTAGCCAAAACTTTTGATTACCTATTTGGCTACGAAAACATTTGGTGGCCAAATAATTTTTTGTTTTTTTAAAAAAAAAAAAAAATTTGTAAACAACCTGTATTCATTTATATTACAACCAGTACCCTGTATAAAACAATATAATCCATCAACACTAAAATATGTTATCCACCATTAAAGCATTCAACAACGTGCACACATTTCAGTTCCAAGCATCCAAAAAAGTAATCTTCAACGTCCAATTCTATATATATTACAAATTCCATACAGTCCAAGTCTAATCCAACGTCAATAATTTAAATCCATACATAATTTAAAATCTTCAAGCAAACACTTGAAGTGACTCAAAACATCCATATGGCAGCCTAAAGAATTCTACCACAAAGCACAACTAGAACTAGACTTCAAACAATGGCTAAAGAATAACTAAAATGGTCTCTTCTCCACGGTACATTCACCTCTCATACACAAATCCTTCGATAGCGTTGAATTTTTTTTTTTAGGACTCATACTAACTAAAGGAGCACGAAAAATGATAGCAAAAACTCAAAGCCATGAGCAATAGTCAAATGCATCGTCATCATCATCAGGAAGGGGCTGGCTAGCCGCTACAGCATGCTCAGCTTCGTGCCTGTAAAGAATACCAAAGGGATAAAAAACACCACAAATTGATCATTAACAGCAATTCATAAATTTTCATTCTTGGACTCTAATGTTTCCACAAGTTAAAAATTTAAGAACTGTGAACCACCACCACCACCACCACCACCAAAAAATAAAATTTGAAATTTGTTTACGAAATTTTATTTTTCGTTTTTTTTAATCTTTGGTGGATTTTTTTTTCATATTTTAATCAAATTTTTCTTATATGTTTAAATGCACCTAATCTAGATGCAACTAATGATATTATCACACTATTTTTTCATTACATCATGATGCAACTAATGATATTATCACACTATCTTTGGTGGATTTTTTATCATACTATTTTTTCATTTTTCTAATGATATTAATTCAAAAGGTTCCTTTGGAGAGTTCCCCTGCAAGGATAAAGATAATTATTTGTGATGTTTTCTTGCTTATCTTTATCTAATAGTCCCCTGCAACTAATTGCTTATCTTTATCTAATAGTCCACAACTCCACCAGTATAAATAAACAAAAAATAAATAACAAACAATGTGCTATTCCATTACCCTGCAAGCTTCCTGGCAAGGTGCAAGAAAGGTTTTTCAAAGTTATAGTTACTCTTAGCAGAGATTTCATAGTTACTGCACATCGCCCATAAATGCTGTAAATAGAAACAGAAAATTCCAGAGCAAGTTATAATAAGATAATAAAGTTGGCCTCAAATGCCAATTACCACAAAACTGACCTTGATAAAATTCAGAATATTGCAATGGATCTAAATTCTATTGAATAATAATATTAGAGAAATTATATTCACTCTCCCCCGTTAGCCTCTCACACTCCTGTTGTGAAAGGTTAAAAGAAAAGTGTGAAAATCATTTCACAAATATTATCTAAAGAAAAAAAAATACATATTACAAATTACAAGTATTTCCAAGTAAATCAACCCATAGAAAATGATACAGCTCCATTTCTTTTACCAAATTGAAAATCAAAATATAATACAATACACCACAAAAGATCTTCCAAAAGTTATCAGCAAATGCAATTCCTTACAACTAAACATGGAAATATTCTTCTAAATCAAACTATATAGGAAAGCAAGTTATAAATATTTTTTTGGGTGAATAAAAGTTATCTCTTGTTCTCACTTTCTTCCAGCCACTGTCTCATCACCATGGAAACTATAGTCCATTCTTTAGTTAAATTCATAATAGCCTCCAAAGATGGATACACCCAAAAAGATTAGCATAGCTTCTATTAAACTAATAAACTAATGACCATTTGAATTTCAATTTTTGCAACATCATATCAAAATATCAAGTAAAATCCATAAGAACAATACTTTACCAAGCATGACCAACGTAATGTTCCTATCAAAGAAGGCATACTTCCTACATATACTCCCCAAAAAATACTAAATGTAATACTGAAATTGACATACCCATGAGTTCTTAGAAGCCGCCGTTGCTGCGCCATACTGCAAATCAACAACAACGATAGAGAGCATTCTTGCGATTGAGGAAAAATACTAAATGTTCCGCGTTTATTGAATTAGTACGTTGTGCTTCATACAACATATTATAACACGACTTGGGCACCATAAAACGTAACAATAGAATCAAATAAAATATAAATAAGGATGTCTATTAATCGCCTAACCTGCCTTGATTGTTAGAAACACGTATCAAACTAGTTAAAATGCTATGATAAACATGACTCATTTAAACTTAAACCTAGAATAAAAAATAATGGTTCAATTTCCAAGAGAAATGAAAATCCTCACTCAATGGCCCTACAAATGAAAATCCTCACAAAATACTAAATCTTCACCGGGTATGTTCAATTTCAATGGCCCTACAGTTGCAACTTGCTAGTACCTAATCATAAGAATGTTATGAGACTGCTCATGGGATCAATAAAACATGATATTTATGAATCATGGGCATTTCATACGTAGAATACATGTGTTACAGGTAAAATGTTACTCAACTTGAATCAAGCTACAAACCAAATTTATGTCATGGAGTATTACTCATGATGAGTTCAGAAACAAACAAAATATCCACTAGTGGTGAAATCAGCACAAAAATATAATGGAAAGGGGTCTCCCCCAACATCTAAGGCAATTAGGACCAAACAAATGCAACAAAAAGTGTAGTTAATGGTATTAGGGGAGTAGACACTCATATCGCAGTCCATGGTTTGTACTGCTGCAAGAACCAAGGCATGACAGGGAGGAGGATTTTTTGTGAAACAATATGTTCCATACAAACAGGCCAAATCTTTTCAACTGTGTGGTTCAACCACCGCACAGTTTCAGAATCAGAGAGCACCTATAAAAGGCAAAAGGAAATTAAACATTTATACCTATCTATATTAGCAACAAAGAAAATTTCTGAAGGAATCTAAATATATATATATTTTTTTTTTTGATAAATAGATCTAAATATATGCATATATACAGAATTACATACATACAATATAACCAAGCCAAAAAAAAAAAAGATGCAAAGAAGAAATAATGCCCCAAATTGACAACAAAGGGAATATATGAACAAAAAGAAAAAGGCAAATATGATATTAAAGTTTTAAATTCTGAAATTTTCACTATTTCGTACCCAAGAAAAGACCCCCCCCACAGCCGCCATGAATTTAGCCCAACATAAGTATGTACGTACTAAGTTCAATAGTTTTTTTGGCCCTAAAACAGCATAAAACAGGATAGTAAAACTCTATTTCCTTTTCTTAACCTCAATTTTCCTCATTCTCATCAACAAAACACAGAGCAAACCAAAGTGTTGCACAAAATAGGCTACATATATAAGGTTGGTAATTTCTGTAAGACAAAATCTAAGTCATTTGTAATGTATTTCGGGCTGGTTGTACGGTTAGTAGGGCAGTTGCAGATGTTTGAAGAAGTGTTTGTAGTCTAAGTCATATGTAGTGTCACTTGTGTTTTTTTTCTTTTTGCAATTATTGTGCTGATGAATATGATTTAAACTGATAATATTTAAATTAACAAACTTAACGAATTGTCCGTAAAATTAATTTCACAAACCAATTGAAGGAAAAATCATCAAAATCAAAGAGATCAAAACTTACTCGTCTTTGATTAGAATTTCTTTTCTCTTCGAATCGTAGTTTTCTCCGCAATCGCTTAACATACCGCTTATGAACCTCCAAAAACAGAATCACAAGAGTGAGTTAAGCGAGACATTACGACTCCATGAAATATAATGACTAATTAATTACACACAATAAACACATACACTGATATATATGAATAGGTACATTACTTCACTTACCAGAAAAAGGTAGGTTAGAGAGATAAAGTAGGCGATCGGGTGACAACGATTAAAGGAAGAAAGTAGCCAAAGAAAAAGCAGCACAATGCAGACATGGTGTATAATCGAATCCTCCATTAAAGCCATCTGATTTTTTTCTATTCACTTTCGATTACTTTCAATCAAAACGGTTCTATCTGACTCTAATTACATTAGAAACTGATCAAATGCTTCAAGATCAACCAACCAAACACCGTATCGCCAATTTGCATTTACGATTTGTCGAAGCATATATATATATATATATATTCATGTGCTTGTATATGGAATTTGAATCTGATCTCTGATGAAGACGTGAAACGAATTCGACACGGTTTATAGGGTTCCCGAGGGAAGAACAGTGTCGTACCTAGGGGTGAGCATGGTCCGGATTGGACCGGATTAGGGTAAAATCAGGACCAATCCGTTATCTACGGTTCTTGAAAAATTGGAACCAATCCAATCCGTTTAAATCATGGAACCAATCCGAACCAATCCATTTAAATACGGATTGGATCGGTTTAGGACCACGGATTCACATAATTAAATAACAAATATATATATATATATATTTAATTTCATAAAAACATAAACATAGCGCTATATTAGTTCCACAATAACAACATA